CAACAGAACCACAAGCAAATAGTTCGTGTTCAGGATTGAATTCACAAGCATTAAAACCGCTAGAAACAAAATTAAGAATGATTTAGAAACATTGGATACTTTAATTTGAATGATTGTTATACGTTGATTTGCTGGATAAAGGTTCTAGATATTGACCTTGTTCGAGATTAAATCGATAGATTTCATTTCTAAAATGAAAATTTATTTTCAAAAAAAAAAAATTTATTTTCTTGTCTTACGTTGCTCCAACACAATAAAGATCACAGGATGAATATCGATAATCACAAGCTCGTCCTTGTTTTGGCGTTCGAATTGTATAATAATTTCCAACTTGAGAATGAAATTCAATATAACGATTAGAATGCATAAATACAACCTGACAAGTAAAAAGTAAAAAAATTGACACAGGAAAGTGTTAAGAAAAGCTCGCAAATGATGTGCTGCTTTATCTCGCGTGACAGAAAGTAGGACACTGTTGCCAGATATTTCTCAAGGATGTGTGATTCAATTTCTATTGCAATTTTACGAAATGATACATAAGCCGAGACTCGATTCTGTTAGTAGAACTGCCATAAAACTTCAAAGACGCTTCACACAGAGTTCGCCAACATTTCATTCTGTAGAAAAATGTCTCGGTATAATCTATTTCTGCGGTTGCAATCTGTGATTTTACAAACCAGTGTTTCCATCAATCCTATAGTCACTCAATCGATTGAGTAATTAATCGCTCTTCCAACAATAATTCTTACTTTTGAATAATCTTCTGAAAGAATTTTCATTTGTATACATTCATTATCAAAACAACGTTCAAATTTCAACGATAATTCATTAACATCATAACAACGAACACGGGGTTTATAAGCACCTAATAAAAACCGATGCTTATGCATTTAAATAAATTATTTTTTATTTATTTCAATTTACCAGTGACAAAAATGTATTGACCATCGCGTGTCATTTGTATACAACTACTTAACATAGGCATTTCAAAACCTTGAATTAATTCAATACGTTGTTTCATATCTAAATAATTCAATAGATTAATAAATGAAAACCAAACATCAAAAGATAATTATTAACCTGCTTCTTTTTTCAATTTTTTTCTTTTATCATCATTCAGCCACTATAAAAGAAATACATATTCGTGATTAATGAAAAAATTCGATTCAAATTACTTCTGGTACTGCTTTTTGACCACATGTTAAATTATACACACGAACATCATTAACATTGGTTACCTGCATGATTAATCTGAAAATAATTATAGAGTTATAAGTCTTCGATTAACTGATTTCGTTATAAATTTTATCTTTCGAAATTTCCAATAAATTCTTCTTAATTATGACAAGAAAAGAAAGAAACGTATGCGAATATTTTATTATTTTCTTGAAAAAAAAGAAAATCAATCTCGAAAACTGAACATATGATTACTGAAATCCCACACTGACAAAGTAAACAAGAAAAGCAGACATATGATATTAAATGAGAACGAAATATTCAAAAAACATAATAATACGCCACACAACTTTCTGTACAAAAGATTATACAAGTTAGATGGAATTCATTTCATTAGATGCTAGTTGATTCTGTTCAGCTTTAGTTTGTGCTTCAATCATAAGCGCTATTTGCCATTTTTTCAATTCAATCGCATCGGTTCCATCGGGTATAACATCCGATTTAACTTGTTCAAACCATGAACGATATTTAAATACAACCGAAGGATATTTTAATAGAATAGAATCATAGAACCATTCCGCTGATATATTATCCATACGATAATTGTAATTTTCATAGACTAAATAATTAGTATTTGATAGAAAAATAATATCAATCTTATTCGAATAAACTTACCGATTTCAGTCGCTTTATTAACAGCGAATATTCGTGCTTCCTCTAATGTTAGACTTTTTTCATTCGCATAATTCAGAAGGCCTTCAACAATTTGTTTCTGTTCATAGTTTGATAAGAGTGGAATATTTGCATGAATAAATGGAGACGCTGTTTGTTCGTGTTTAGATGACGGTAAATATTCATATTCCATTTCGGTATTATCGCCTAGCTTTTTTCTTTGTATGATCAATGATGGAATTGTTTTTTTATTTGGCGGAGACATTGATTTATTGGATCGGGATCTGATTGAATAATTAGCATTTTTATTATCAGATGGCTAAATTTAAAACTTTTTTTTATTAGAATAATATTTTTCAAAGATTATTTTATTAGTCTCGAACAAAAACTTCACTCATAGCTTTTATTCACATGGGAGAAAACTTTCGTAGCGAGAATCTTACCGTTAGAGTTGATGTATGATTGTCTTTTTCATTCGTTTTCAATGAGGATTTTGGCTTTCGACCTCGTTTCTTTTTGACCGGTGGTTCGTCTTCCTTTTTGTCATGATCCGATTGGTTTGATATTTGTGACGGTTTTTCTATTTCATCAGGTAGGTGAAAAGAAGGTGATGCAGATGAACGTTTACGACGTTTATTTGATATTGTCTTAAAGAGAAAATTCTCTAATAAATTTTATTAGAATAAATTTTTGAAGTTACTTCTGTATCCAGACTTTTATCCATAAAAGCTTTTCCACGACGTGAATCTAGCAGAGGAAAATCTATAGAAAACAATGAATATTCATACAGAGCGGCTTCCTTACTGGTATTCAATTGTTTTTTTTGAATTTGTGATTCGTTTAATAGAACGCTGAATTGTTTGATTCGTTCATCTTTTGTCATAGTTAATGCACGATCTGCTAATTCAATAGCTTCATCCCTAAATTCGATTATGAAATTAAAAAAATATATATATATCGAGAAAGTTTTCTACCATTGTGCACGTTTTTTCATAGAAACTTTTAATTGATATCGGTTAGCTAATTCCAATTTTTCGGATTTTGTCGAAGCCTAACTAAGAAAAATGTTTGCATATGAAAATTTAAAAACAAGAATTGGTTTACTTGTTGAACTGCTGTTTCAGCATTTTGAATAAAAGTATTCAATCCAGCATATTTTAATAATGAACGAGTTGATAACCATGAATATTCAAGATATTTTCCATAGAAATAAACGAAAAATTGTCGTTTAGTCTTATTGTACGAGTCTATAAAGAAAATCCTTGGTTAACGGCTACGTGCAAGGTTTAAGATGATACATACTGAATGTTCTTGTAAATATTCCATTTTCTGCATCGCATCGATACTACAAGTATGGAAAAAAAGGAATTATAATTTGAGAAAAATATTTAACATACGATAAGAGCTGGCCACCATGGAAAACTACCTAATTTTGACCAAACAATATCTCCTGGTTCGTATAGATCAGCACCGATTGAACTATCATCAATTGAATCAATAGATTTTGTTGGAGTTGCGTTAAAATTTTGCTTAGTTGGCTTAGGTTTGACATTTATTTCAATCTCATGCGTGGTTGCATTTTCAAAAATAAATTCTGGATCTTGTTTTACACGGCGCTGACGTTTTTTCGGAATCGATTCTAAAAGATACATAATGAAAAAGCGCCAGAAGATTATAAAAATTTACCGGACGATGACTGTGCGGTAGTCATGAATATTAAATCTAGAAAATTTTTCAAACGAATTTACGATAGTTACACTAATGTGAAATAAAGAATGTTTTCATAAGAGTAACAACGTAGCTAGAAAAACAATTCTAGCAGCAGGGTGCGACCTTTTCAAAGGGGGCTGAGCAGCACTCTGAGTTTCTATGTCATAAAAACAACCACAATTTGCACCAACGTAATCCACTGATTTTCATCTTTTTAGATTTTTGAATTATTTAAATCGGAGAGAAAACTCATCACAAACAATAGGCTAATACACAACAACCAACTACTTCTGTTTGTCAATATAAATAGCAGTATCTAGCATTGGCTTCAGCTAGTATCTCGATCGGTCCTATTCCAATACCAGCACTCTGATTTTATCCTAATCAAAAACTACCATGATCATGCAAAATATACGTAGAAAAATGAGGCTCCGGAAAGATATTGAGAAACAATTTCTAAATTCGTATGTTTCTGAAATTATAACGACGGCAATTACTATGGATTCACTCATAATAGAAAAACAACAACAAGATACTATTTTATCTCTAATTCATTTCATAATGTATGCATATCTAAATCTATATACTGAAAAAACAAATAAAGAAAATTCTAATGAAATTTTTTTTCTAAATCTATATGAGCATGTAATAATGTTGATAATTGCCATTTTTTCAATTGAATTCTATCACTGTTCAATGGCATTAATGTTTGTTTAAAATCTTTAAACCATTGTCGATGTATAAGAATAATTTGTGGATATTTTAATAAAAAATCATAGAAAAAATCACCTTGCACATATAACATTCGATGATTATAATTCATTGAAGCTATATTAATTGCATATTGTTCAACATATAATTGAGCATCAGTCAGTGTCAATAATCCACCTAATCGATGATGCATCAAATCATTCACAAGACGAAGTTCTTCATAAATTGTTAATGATGGAATGCCTAAAATTGTTTTTCTATAGAAAATGAAGTTTTTTGTATAAAAAATAGAAACCTTTATCTAGAAAATGACAAATAGCAGTGGTAAGTGATGCAGGACTTGATGGTGTTGGTGAATTAATTTTAACAATAACAACATCATTATCTGATTCATTGATTGTTGGAATAATGAATGAATTCGACTAAAGACAAGCAAACATCGCAATCAAATAGAACTCAAAAAGAAGAAGAAGAAAAGTTTACTTGAAATCTCGATGACTCATTCAATTCATTTGTTTCTTTTGGTGTTAAACTAAATGAGAATGTTCGTTTTTTCTCGTCAGCAAATGTTCTGGGAGAGACTTGAGTTGTTTTATTGAGTAATGAACCGATTATGCTAGTTGATTCTGTTCGTTTACGTCTATTGGATAATAGCCGTCTTGTTGGTAATGATTTTGTTTTGCTTTGTGGCTAAAACAGTATACCTGTAATTGCTGTTCTTCATTGATCGAAACACGATCAGGCAAGACTACTCGTTCGTATCCTAAAGATTAAAATTAAACGAAGAAAAACTAATAAATGAAATACCATTTTGAGGTATTTTATATTTAGTTCCAGCTAATAGTGAAGTAAGCATTTTTTCAAATGCGCTGATTCGTAAACTAATAGGTAGACATAAAACTTCATCAGCTTCTTTGATTGCTTCTTTCCTGAATAGAACAAAAATATCTGTGAAATATAATCAAAAGAAGTATCGATTGAACATACCAATAAGGATGCAGATCTTCTGGCATTTTCATATCGAATCTTTTTCGAATACTCTCTTCTCGTCGTTTTGTTGTCGCCTATGAATTTCAAATGCGATCGTAATTTATTCGGAAAATTAAGGAATATTACTTGTTCAATTTTAGTTTCCGTATAATTTAAAAAGTCTTCTAAACCTTTATATGGATGGAGACATACTTGACTAGTCCAACCATGCTAAAAGTTAAATAATAAATATGTCGTACATAATATTTAGATTCCTTACTTTGAAATCCCAACCAAAACAGTAAACAAAATATTGTTTTTTCGTTGATACTACAGGTTTTGCTATAGAATAAATAAATAAATAGTGAGAAATAAATAAAATTCAAGATAACTTACTTATCGGTTTGACATGTACCCAATCTTCCGAGAAACAACCTAGGTTTGAAAAAGTATACAATACATACATTTTACTCCTGAAATCGACCATTACCGTAGACAAATGCAGGCCACCTAAAAAGGAAGGGAAGAGCTTCGTACAATAATCGAACTATTCTTAAAACGTGATGGAAAATCAGTCTTTCGATTTTCTTTAAAAAATCCTTTGCAAATGACTCATTCGTATCCTGTAACGGAATGAATCATACTTCGTTCTTCCTCTTTAGAATTACGTCATAGAAAAACGTATATCAGCAAACATGTTCTTAGAAATCGGCATGAATAAAAAGTTTTATTTCTAAACGGTAGAGTTCACTGAGATATGAAACTGCAATTCTCCTCTCCAGCGTTGTAGACATTTTACTAGAATTTCGATCCAAAGAATACTCTGAGAGATTTAAGACCCACCCGCATTCTCTGAAAAGTTTTCCTATTTTCTCAGTATTCCATTGACAAATAGATCCACCTCTGAATTACAATTACAATAAAATGCCTACAACTCTCGACAGAAGGACATTTTGCTATACATCACTGGACTATTCCTCATGAAAAAAAGTCCAGACTCAAGAGCTCTTGGACAGTTGCAAATGTTCTCTCTCGTGATATTGAGGCATCATGAGCTACAATTCTTACCATGTAAATCCGTTTAATTTCGCCCACACAACATCTCCAATATGAAATTCATCTGCCAAAAGATCAAATATCGATGATTCTAAAATATCATCATCGTGTTGTTTACGTTTGAATTGTTTTTTATCTAAACACGATATGATTAACAATTCATCTCTATTACCAATAGTATTCCATTTACATTTATCCAATGAATTCGTCATCTACAATAATAGATCAAGAAGAAAAAATAGATTGATTGTTTATTGAGGTTTCAGTATATAAAAAAAACTCTATTTGATAGATGTACAATTGATAAGAGAAATAGAAAAAAATAGTACATAATGAGATTATTTCTTTTCATTTTGAATCATATTTTTTAATTGGCATTGTTTCAAATAAATTGTATCGTCTTGTACATGCTTGATATCTTCATTAAACCAATTCGAATATTTAGAAACGATTTCTGGGTGATTCAGAAGAAAATCTATCGAACGCAATAAAGAAAACTAAATTATCAACGGAATCTCATTATCAAATTTACCATAGAACCATTCGATTTGTACACATGACATATTATAATGAGAATTTTCTTTTATTATTTCAGTAACTAATTGACAAACAAAAGATTGTGCTTCACGAAGTGTTAATTGTTCATGGTTTGGATGTTCAAGAAGATTGTTTACTATGCGTTTTTCTTCACGTTTAGTTAATGTAGGTAAACCAACGTGCAATAATGTTGTTGACACAGGCTGTGAAAATAAAATATGAATTTTAGATTTCAACGATATTATGCAAAAGAATCGGAATTAGTGATTATAATTACCGTTGACTTTGTTTTTTGTCTTTTTACTGATGAACGAGTCGAAGATTTATCTGACGTTGGTGATGATGTTTTTCTCTAGAAAACAAAATCGGATTTGTTACTTTCGTTTATATTAAACTCAGCTATTTACCGATTCACGTGTTGTAATAGAAGAACGTCTTCGTTTCGATGAAGTATTCTCTAGAAACATAAGTTTATTTGTTGCTTTGTAAAGAAATAAACTATTACTTTCTGCTTTCTGAAGAATAGTTTTTAACAATTCAGTAAAATTTTCTACGCGTTGTTGTCGTGTTAATTTTAATGCTGCATCAGCTTCTTGAATTGCTTGATCCCTAATATGATAAATTAAAATAGTCGTAAGGAATTTTGAATATATCTGTTTACCAATGAGGACGTTTATTTGCAGCTACTTTAAGTAGAAATCGATTTGCCAACATTTCTTGCATAAATTTCTTTGGTGCCTGAGTAAAAAAAGACAACGAGCAATAATATGAAAAATGATCTAAATGGTAATTGAACTAACATTTTGTACAGATGATTCAGCTTGTTGAATGAAATCATCGAGACCAGAATAAGCCATCAAATGATGAGGATGTGCCCATGTATATTCAAAAGCAGGACCAAAAAAATAAACAAAATATAGGCCTAGAAAAATTGTGAACTTTTTGTGATGATTAGATTTTGAAAGAAAATCATTACGTTTCTTAGGTCGATGAGCAGTTTTAACTACTTTTGTATGTAGATTATCTTCATAATATGAACCTAGACTAAGAAGATTAATTTATCGAAGTAGATAAAGTTTCTTAAATACCATAGATAAGTGCAGGCCACCATGGACTTCCAGTTATATGAACCCAAAGAATATCGCCTAATTGAAATAATTCAGGTGGATCTTCTTCATCAACTTCAATATCCTCGACTAACGATTCAATTTCTTTGGGTTGTTCTATACTTGGTTGTGGCTTTAATATTGATGAACGAGATGCTCGTTTCGATCGACGATCTATAAGGAATGAGCGTATTATTAACAAAAATGTGGATTATTATTGTTTCACTTGAAATTGGTTCATCAGTATTAACACAGTCGACCATCATGATATTTGATAGACTTCTTTTTAAACTTAACTCATCGAATAATTTAGTAGAAATGTAGTTCTAATAGTATAACCAACAAAGCTTTAGAAGTAGAATTATGTAATTGGTCTATTTATTTATTCAATTAATTCTTCGAAGTTCCTACCGAATCTAAAGATTGATTGCTTGACATGAGAAATTATTTATTTACATAAAGAAATGATATTTATGTGAAACACACTCGATTTTAGAATTGATTTGAATTTAGCCTTTTCAACTAGCGCCATCTACCACAACTGGCGGCTTTAACTGTTTTACATAATTGTAGACACGCAAATAGGGAATCCTTGAGCATGTTGAAACTAGCTTGAAAATTCTAGATTGTAAGTGGCTATGTTCCTTATGTTGTAGAATCATCTTATAGATTATATTCTTTGATGTCCATCGAACCTTTCACGTCGCGTGGTGTGTATCACTTTTCTATCGCTATCTTATCTGCACCTTATTCATCTAATATATGGTTCTGGATATAGTGTAAGTTGTTTTTGTTTATTTCATTTTTGGGGATTTATAAAATAATAATTAATTCGATTTGCGCGTCTATAACGACCGGGTATGAAAAAATGGTGTTACATGTGAAGTGAAGAACAACAAATACAAAGTATACTATGTAAGAGAGAAAAGCAAGCGCGCCACTACGACATGATTTCGATTAATGATATGTAATCGGGTCATTAGAAATGCATGGTCTCATTTATTGCTAAATTTGTAAAGAAGAATCACATGCTAGAGCACATTTTATTTACTGATTTGAATAATAATTCGACAAAGAAATATATATACGACTTATTAGAACACTCTTGAAACGAAATCTTTTTCGCACAGTATTAATAATCTGAATCACCTAAAATATAGCAAATATTTTACTGCTGATAAGGTATCATAAAAAAAATTAATAGAATAGAAATACTTTTGCATACTTCGATGATGATAGATGTATGACAACTTTTAAACTATATTATTTACAGAAATCGAGAATATTTTAATTCAGTTACAAAAAAAATCTATATTTTCAAAATTATGCTGTTCGTTATGTTTCAGTAGGTAATATGAATTGTTTGGATTTTTACAACATAAACCGAGTGAACTCTTTAGCTTTTCTATTAAAAAATAACAATTGATAGCAAGCCCAGTAGCGAAGTTCACACAGTAAGAGATGTTTTAAATATAGGAATATTACTAATACATTATCATTCTTTATTAATTAAAAGCTTATTTTGTTGTCACAGAAGAAAAATGCCTTCCAGTGTATATGACGATATTTGTTCTATAGAAATGCCACTTCGAAGCCTGATACGAAACACACTTTTCTTTTTGTAAAGCAAAATCGAAAGATACTTTTCGAAATAGACTCGAACAACATCGTATGACTATGTAAAGAGAACCATACGCGTTTCAATACGCTGAGAGCTAATAGTGATGCTATGAAGATTTCACAGTAATCATTGATTCGCTTGATTTAAGCAGCGACAATGGTGAGTGTATGAATTGCCCGTAGATCTTTTATCTCGTTCTTCAGAGTTATAGTTAAGAAGTATTTGATGCAGTATAGCGAGATGTTATTGGCACACAATATTCAATCATGGTTTCTATTTGAGAAGGTTAATGCATATAGATTTGCCATTTCATGCTTTAATATTCATTTTAGTTCGTATACCAATAAAAAAAAACATTTTTCGAATATTTCTATTACTGTTTCATTTTGTTTCTGTCCCGTGCTTGACATATAATTATATTGAAACTAAGACTATTAAAAATCTATGAAAGTTGTCGATTAGCCATTAAATATGAAATTCATTTCAGATAATCATATCTATTGATACTATGTTAAGAGCGGCACATCTTAAACTGATTGCTATTGTATCCATATTTGTTACTATTCTTTCTGTTTCTGGTTTAACAGTTCTTGTAGTTCTATGGCACAAAAAACTTTCACCATTTCAAGATTATGCACTTGTCGTTGATGCTGGTTCGACACATTCGAAAATTTTTCTTTATACGTATCTATATCTCTATGAAATACGTAATTGCTTGTAAATTGCAATCTATTTAGATGGCCTGCTGATAAATCCGATGGTTTGGGTGAAACATCCCGAATAACTCAAGTTAAAGCTTGTAATGTACCTGGCGGAGCAATCACATCAATTACCGACCCGACACTGGCTAACGCTAAGGAATACTTTGATTTAGCTATGTCCGATTGTATTAGTGAAATTCCATCAACTCGTAAAAGTCGAGCATATATTTTTCTTGGTACGTAATAATTACGCAAATTCTTTTCTTTCTACTATTTCGATAATATTTTCAGGCGGAACAGCTGGCCTACGTTTATTCAATATGTCAAATTCTAGTTATACGAATAGTTTATTAGATAGTACACGCGCTTATTTTAGTACGCTTGGTGTTCTCATTAAAGCACCGGAAAGCCAAGTTCGAATTATTAGTGGTAGCGAAGAAGGCCTATCCGGTTGGATATCAGTCAATATTCTTATGGGTCAATTATTCGAAAATAATAAACCATTCGATACATATGGTGTATCAGATATGGGAGGTATGTCAAATGTAGCATGATGCTCTCTAGAAGAAAGAGCAGTTCTTTGGTTTTATTACAGGTGCCAGTACACAAATTAGTTTTATTTCTCCTAATGCTACGAATGACCGCTTTAATATGACTCTTTTTGACACACAATATAATCTATATTCGTATTCATATTTATGCTATGGAACAGAGCAGTTGCGTTTGATACATCTCGGTCAACTTGTAAATAACGCAAATGGATCGCTAAGAATCGATGAGCCATGCTTGCAATATGGTTATTTACAAAATTTAACTTATGATAATATATTCAATACACCTTGTGCTCAAAATCAGGATGCACCATTGCCAAATCTTGATACATCATCGAACTTCACATTTGTGTACGAATAGTTTTTCGAAATTATTCAAGTTTTTCATTGTTCTATTTTTAGAGGATTAGGGAATTCTACACAATGTTCTGTTCTTATACAAGAACGTTTAAATGAATCAGTTTGTACATCAGCAACTTGCAGTTTCAATAATGTCTATCAACCAAAACCGATTTCAGCATCTCTAAAATTTATCGCTATTTCAGCATGGTATACAACATTTCAGAATTTAGCTCCAAATGTCAGTTTATCTCCTGATAAAGATGGAAATTTTAATTTCAGCAAAGTTACTTTTAGTCAGATCAAAAGAGCTATAGATGCAATATGCAATCAGCCATGGTCAGATCAACTGCCACCAAAAGATCAATATCGGCCATGTAAGATAAAAAAAGAAAAATAACATGCGGATTTTTTTATCGTTAATTTTCTATAGTTTTATGTTTCAATTCAATGTATCATTGGACACTACTTGAACATGGCTATTCGATGAACGATACAAATTTAAAAAATTTTCAAATTGTAAAAAAAATTAATTCTAATGATATCGGTTGGACATTGGGCTTTATGATAAATCAAACCAACACTATCGGTGCTGAATTTCGACCAGCACGTTTAATAACTGAAAGTGAATTTGCCGGTTTATTATTTTTGTGCTTATTATTTTTGATTCTTAGTGCAGTTATATCTTTTCTGGCAGTGAGATATTATAAACGACGTCAAGGCTATTAAACAAAATTTTCTTTTTAAACATTGATCAAACTAATTTTTTTTCTTTTTTCTTGTTGTGATACTTAATAAAATATTTTTCTATTGATAGTTTTTGGGAGATGATTTGATGTAGTCAATAAGTGTCATATGAACTCGAGATAATGTACTGGTTTTACTATGACTTGATATTGTATAATAATGATAATGATCAATGATCATTTTCGATAATAAATATCCGATGAATAGTAACATTGGTTGTTTTTTATTTAAACAATCTGTAATGAATTTTTGTTCGAGCCATAAATGATAATCTTCCCAATTATTTTCTTGACTAAGAACATTCCAGAGATATTTTAATGCTCTAGATGAATAAAAGAACATTTCTGTCGAAAAACACTTAAATTTATCTACGTATAAAATTTTGGCTTTTGTATACGAAATATTCGCCATGTGTCACGTAATCGAAAAATCGATGGATGATCAAATGTTGCTAAGATAATACGAATACTATGTATATCGTGATTTTTGATATATAAATGTTGAACAACCTATCATAATTGATAATAAACATACTGTTAGCACAATCCCTGTGGGGTTTAAAATGTGAAACATTGCCTAGTCACTAGTCTCAGTCGAGAACTAAATACTTTATATAGTTCCAATCAGATTTCACTGATACATGATCTTCGGGCGTGCCTTGAAGTTGTCTGTCACGATCAAGATTTAGATTTTTGATTTTTACAAATAAATTCAAAACATACCGAAAATAAATGTATTATAATAGATGCACGCATTTTATCTGTTCTTTGCCGTAAAATCTGTGTAGCAAATAGCGCTACTGTTCTATCATAAAACTCGAGCATTGTGGTTATATTTGGTGCTAAAACTTTCTATTTGAAGAAACGATCAAATGATTGAATTATTTATTAAATTCAACTTATAACTTTTTCATTGGATAGAAATGCAAAATTAAATAATTCTACTGGTGTAATAAGTAATAGTAGACTTTGATTCATTAATGTTAGTTCATCGGCAATATCTATGGCTTGATACATTCGAATATCGTGTATTCCAAATTTATTATCAGTTTTTAATGCGGATCGGGAAGGTCGAATTTGTTTTGATTTGATAGAATACATGAATTTTTATCATTACAGAAAATTGAATATTCAATATTTATGTGAATCATTCATATCAACACAAAAAGAGAAAAAAATTGCATTTTCAGTAATGAGCGCTGAAAAAGAAAGTAATGCACTAAGGCTTTCATTTTTACAAACTGAAAAACACAAATTATTGACGTAGAATAAGATGTTTTTTGTTGTTCTTGGTTCGCGTAATTGCTATTTTTCTCGTCAAAAACACAAACAGACATTCAATGTCGTCTTTCGAATATACATCAGGAACCTCTCATTTGAAGTATCCCGGACACTCCCCCCCTGCACCCCTTTCGGGTACCATTCACCCACACCCATTCCATCTTAAACTAAATCTATTTCTATCACTTATTTTCGAATTGATACCATACAATTGGGTGTCAACTTAGATTCGAATTTGAACTAGGCATTTCATGGATGAAATCGCTATGTGGGACATTTCCAGCTCCAAAACTCACGAGATCTACGCCCGCACCCCATTGAAGTCAGTTATCCCCAAGGCCTAAATATAGGAAGAATAAGCTTGAGTAAATCTATTTCTTTACTCCTTGGCTTAGTTCTAACAGCTTAGTTGTGAGCATGTGTCTAATAGTAAGAAATCGGATCCATTAAAAATTGTTCGAACGAGACCAAACTACGCATATGCTATCGGAATTCAAACATAGACCAACAACTAGGCATCTTTTATCTTGTCGGCTAATTGGCGTGTCATTACTTGTTTGGGTAGATAGTTTGCGAGTAAACGATCTATCAGTTGATTCTTTTCGTTTTCAGGCAAGAACGAAGATCGTGCTGCATTGAATACACATTGACTCAGTTGTGCAGGTGATAATTTAAGGTCGGTAAGTGCATGTTCATATTCGTGTTCGATGGTTATCTGTGATACAGACGGATCATCGCATGATAAGGAAAAATTGATATGATCACGAGCAAAATGATGAATGGGATGCCAGACTTCTTTTTTTGATTTGGCATGCATATGAAGCGTTGTCTTTGTTTTGTGGCCATGGAGCATGAAGTGCTCTTCATATTTTTCAATATCTGTCGGCATGTACTTGCCGACGGCATTCGTGTGTAGAGATGATGTTAGACAACATTCAAGATGAATATCTCGACTGTGAACGATTTCATAGATAGCTGGATCGTCAACAATAGCATAGCCATGACCAATTCGTTCGGCATGACACTGTTGAATTGCTTGAAGAACAGAGTCGGCCGAACCTGTCTCCCCAGCGTGAACGGTACGATGTATGCCAAGTTTGACAGCACGTTCGAAGGCGGCCGCATGAGGAGAATACGAACAATTATGTTCGCTGCCAGCAAGATCGATACCGACTACGCCAGCCGATCGATATTTATTTGCTAGATCCACCACTTCCATCGACCTGAAACAAAAAAAAAGTACTTTAGATAATCTTCTGAAAATCCCATTCGTCCTTTTAAAGAAACATATCAGAGAAATTATATTCTAAGATCCTATTCGAATACATTTCATTTTAACTAATCGTATGCGATTTTACTAGGGAAATTTTCGTGTTTTCAAAAACATAGAATTCATATTAAAACTTGTGGTTCAGACTACGGGTGACAGATGGTGAGAGTGAGTCGTTACTATTATACCATTCGGGATGCGGACGAATGCAACAAAGTAGTGTTCGAATATCGACATGAAACTCCTTTATGCCGCGTTTAAATCCACGATTGATTGCTACGATCACCTTATGAAAAAAAAGAATATTGTGATATCTCTTTAAAAATGTAAAAAGACGCCAAACATACCTGTTCAGGCGTGAGAGTATTGCCCATTAAGACTTGCGGACTATAGCGTGCTTCTGTATAGAGTACACCTTGTATCGCTTGATCTTCGACAAATTCGTAGGCGACACGTTCAAGAGCCTCCACATCACCAGCCACAATGTTTAGGAAGAATGGAAATTTTTCCAGAAATTCGGCCAGCGATTGACAAGTCGATTGCACGGAGACATATCTATAATTAAACCAAAGATAAACGAGAATAGAGAGCGCATGATCTCAAAATCATCGGCAACTACGCATTACGGTATAAAATCTTCAATTGTTGCCTTCATACCATTTGGAAGTGTAATGCCTAAAATTAAATCCGATACTATACCAAATTCATTCTTAGAAAGAGAATGCCTTTTTTTTCAGCCAATTCGAATAGAGTCGAATGCCGGAATGAACCATCGAGATGAATGTGAAGCTAGATGACAGAGACACAAAGTTAATAGTCAAGTAGATGCAAATCTATCATCTACTTCGACCAGTGCAGGCGCATGATGACTATGCGGATGTCGTTGATGGTGAGATGTATGATGATGATGTTCACAAGTGTCCGGATCGATCAACGTACCGGGGAAAGACTTTTCGTCGTTGTTATCACTCATTCTACAATAGAACAAAGTAAAAGGATATGTTTAGAGTGAATTTTCAAAGGCAAAAAAATAATGCGATTTATTATGTTTTTGTTTGAAATTTAGTCGTATTCGAATCAAGTAATATATCGCTCGTTTTACGATGATTCGCTCTTTTTTGCGTTCTTATTACTTACTTCCTAGTTACGTGCGATAAGATAAGGAGAGAAATAATGGAGCAAAGAAAAGATTCGTAAAAAAATGAAAAAGAAAACTAAAAGAACGAAAAAGTTGGTACTTGGAAGCACGATGCTTCCATCCCTAAGTATATTTTCTCTCGACTGATTATCTCCATCAAACAGAGAGAACAAGCGTGAGAGAGAAATCAAAGCGCAGAGGCATATGCGATAAGTAACGTGTCGAAATGTTATAACTTTGCGATCATGTGATGAAACGTCGCACTTACCACAATACTGTCAGAACAACTAGGAGAATAGAACGATGATCAGTACGGATGACTAATTATTCTATAAAGTAATTACATTAATTGTAACCGATATTTGAAATTATGTATGATTTTTTGTTTTCTGTGACTTAGGAAAAGTATCGATTCCCCGTTGTCTTTCGAGAGCATCGGCACAGATAAAATTCTTTACTTGTTCTCATTTTTATTCTATTATATTACTAAATAAATAAATGTGATGTTTGCACTCAAAGACGAAACTGTTATCAGCTCAACAATAGAATATAGAGCGAAAAAATGGCAAGATAAAACAGCTGTAATTATCTTAGAAAGCGTATTCTGAAGTTAAAAGAGTTAGATTCGATTAAGTTTCTGTAACGATTCTCAAAAATCGCGTGCATTGACTAGAAAGTAGTATTTTATCAGCTCCATATTTCTTTAGCTCAGGATAATCGTGATCGCTTGTTGAAAGCGTCCCATCTTAACATTTAAACATATCATATAATGTTATTTGTGTCGTAATATAGAAAAAGAGGAACATGAAGATCAATGGTAACACCATCTCATGCAACATGATTGAGGCAAGTAAAGACCACTGTCGCAACTTTTGTAAATGATATTTTAGTAATTTGTTATTTCGAGTGGAGATTGCTCCTCCCTTTTTAATATCATATAAGGTATATGAAGCCGTCTATTGTATTATTATATGCATTTCGCCGAGAAGTAAAGATGACGCTTACTACAACGCCTTCACGATAGTCCTGTTCAGTTTAAAAGTAACGTACCAGAGTGTCTGTACTTGTAAAGAGCATGGGTGTACGTCGGTAGGTACAAGTAAGAATGGTGAAAGACGTAATATAGAATCATAATTTGACGAGTGTCAATACAGCTAAATGTAGATAAATAAATGATTTATACATTGTTGATATATTCTATATAAACACTAGAGAAAAAATATGGTATAAATAAAAATGGAGGAAGAAAATGATAAGACTCGTAGATAATGTTTATATAATTGGATGTAAACTGTTTTGAAAAGCGATGAATTAATTTTTCAAAAAAATTCCAATTGCAAAATCTTTCAAGTGGAGAAAATAACGATAATCATATTTATTTTTGATCAGTCTGGACAAGAAAGTTACTTTATTATAAAATATTTCCTTTTTTAAATGTATTATCAATAAATAAGGGTGATGGTGTGGGTGTGTGCGAGCTTTCGTTAACCTATGTCTGAAGACCTTTCGGATCTGCAAGCAGTTAGCTATGCAAACAGCCGCACTCTAATAAAGCCACCTTGAATTGTTCTGCTAAGTTGATTTCTAAGAAGTGTACAATAATACCACAACTATACATAGTATAAATCACGTCATTGGATTTAAGTTTTTCGTTTACAAATCGTGGAGTTCGATCGATGTTGCATTCGTTATTCGTAATGAGCTCTTATTTTACAAAATCAAATAGATATAGGATTGGATTTGAATGTCTCACAGAAAGTGACTACTAAGTACATGTCCTTAATACGTGTGGATCGTATTAATGGATTTCTCTTCTTCAGTTTTATTTGTTTTTCGTTTTGTTTCGTAATCAAGACGATAAGTATCATGTCTAAATAAGTGAAAAATGTGATCATAAGAAAAAAATTGTAAGACAAGATTTTAATTCTTTGCCAATATTCTTTATCATATGTGATTTTTTAAAGTTACTACATATGAAGCGACTTGGTTTCTGAAATTTATTGCATATAAAATCTTTTAAATAAATGAAGGCATAGCTATGATTTTATTTATATAAAGAGACCAACATTTCACGGAATAAGTATTCAGTGTTACATACTTTTTGCCCATCTATATGCAACTAATTGTTTTTCTTCAATGATACTTGATTATTTAATTTTGAAATAGGTCGATTGCTGAAAAGCAAAGGTTGAAATTATTAGTTTGAATTTATGTTTTGGTTAAGAGATAATGCGGTCTCATTCTTAATTGAATTATGTTAGATTTATACTTGATGAGCCACAATATTCTGAGCACGGCTATTATTATAAAAGACCAAAAATTGAACCAAAATTTCTACGCATGCTTTTTTCTTCTTTTTACCGTATAAACTATTTATATGAGATAATGAAATTCTGCTATGAATCAAGATTTGATTTATTTACTACATGTTGCAGTGTAAATTTAATTGTGTATTATATCGAGTTTAGAGCCATTTATCAATAATAGAAACTAAAAGGAAGACTCCATTCTTGCTGAACTGCGCAGCTAAAAATGAATGGAAACAAAATTTTCAGAGGCATCAATTTTCCAGTCAGGATTCGATTTCAATACATTTCTACTCTTTATTCGGACTCAACCATCCTCGAAGAATCTAGATGGAGCGCAAGTTATATGTTCTGAGGCGATGATTATTGAATTGTTTTATCATTTTAATGTTAGCAAGCGAGACTGAATATGAAATCAGCTTAAAAGTATCACATATACTTTGCCCAAAGTGTCTTCATCAACGGAAACTGTTCAACCTTCATATCGATAAGTTTGGATTGTTCTTCATTAAAATAATTGCGCCAGTCACCAATCTCACCTTTTCGGATAAATTTGGGCATATCTTTGGATCGCTCAATGCTCCAACGCTGAAGATCTGTTTGCATTGCTTGCAGTGAAGAGTACTGAAGTACTTTTTCCAAAATATTATCATCGATTTTAATTTCGAGAAATAAAGCTAGTCGTTTGACGATTTCTTTAGTGTCACATATAAGTTGTTCGTACGTACAGAAAAAGACATTTCGATCATTGAGTCGGGACTGCCATGAAACAAAGTGATCAAAAAAATCACCATAACCAACTTCTCCATTGATAAAGCGTCGAAAAAAATCATCAAATGTACCATGTGCATAATCATAGAACGCAAAGCCACGTGTATGATGATAATAGGAAACACAACAATCTTTTGGGTTCCGTGCTACTACGATGTATTTTGCTTGGTCATTCCAATTCAATAAATGCAGCGGTAAGTGTGTTTTCAACGCGACATGATTCTCACAATACGTGCTACCATTCTTTTCTAGCCATGGTATTTCGTCACTAATCTTTAAATGCGATGGAAGTGGTTCCCCGTTGTGCTGTAGTAAATAAACAATATTTTGCATCCATGTTGTTCCACACTTCGGATAGGTACCAATAAAAACTGTATTCGCTTTGGGATGGAATTCCAAAGCAGAATCAAAGTTATCAGGTGAAAACGTCAGTGGCATCATATATCCATGGCAGATGAGGTGCTTCGGTCCCCTTATATCCATTGAGACCATGGTTTCACAGCAGCTTATGTTTCAAGCAAATATGCACAAGAAAGAAAAACACAAAATTGTCTTATCAGAACATAAAATGCTGGTCTACACCTTGTAAATTATCTCAAAACTCAATGATAATGATTCAATGATAACTAAAATGAATAAAACGAAGCTGTTGCGTGAAGGTGTGGGGTATAGGTGCGAATTTTATTCCTCAAACTTACTAGAAGTTTTAATTTTGTTTCACTATCAATATGAATTTCCATCGGCTAGAAAAGCAAATCAGATATTTTATCATAAATAGAGTAGCTGTCTAATTCGAGTTCGAATATAAATGGAGAAAAGAAAAAGTTAAACTAAAACTAAATCTATTCCTAGATGTATTTTTAGTTTAACTTTCCGTTATATACGACATACAAATACATATATACGCTTCACCCGCCCTCACATTAGAGACATGGACTGTATCTATATAGCATCAGTTTACAATTTAACCAAACGGAACAATAACAATTTGAGCTTTATATATTAATAAAATTGTGAAGAAAGAAAAAGTAGAACATTAAAAAATAGAGCAGATCCATCAAATTGGTTAATTTCTTATTCATATAGGACGGTTGTTGAACGCATTGAACAAGAACATCAATTGTTTATTGTTGTCGTTGATCATCTTCGCTAATTACTAAAAGAAAAAAATATCTCAAGTCAGCTTGTACGCACTGGTATACGTGATATCCGAAGTGACTTACGCAAGCTGTTGTGCACTGGCTGTTTCAGATCGTGCAATACAGTCAGTATACAGGACTTTACGACGTATAAACAGTTGCATTCGTCAACGTTACAGCAAAAATACCGATATCTGTATCCATTGGCCTCGGAATGCAATATCATCCAAATCATCGAATATTTCTCGTCGGAAATGTGAATAAACTTGTGAAATAAAAAAAGATTGTGGTTAATTTAAAAATAATAACAAAATATTCAAATTTCTTCTCCAATAAAGTCTTCTATTGCTTCTGATATAGCAGGCATTTTATGTTTTAAATTCTTATTAGTGTCATTATAGCTAGCGTAATCTTTATCATAAATAGTCAAACTCGAAAACGGAGCTGAATCAGCCCATATGACTGGTACAGACAGCTTCAACACACTCACAAACATACGAAACCGTGATCTGGACTCGAACATGAGACTTTGTAAGAGTTAACAAATTTTCACACGTGTAACCCTTTCAATCCCGATCACATCTAGTAGATATGATGCTCTATCCTCTTCTTAGACGACCAATATCGTATGATATATTTCAAGAAAAACAAGAAGACCTAAATGATGTCATAATTGCGCTCACCTATGTTTCAGCTGATTGTGACGACATAATGAAAGAGAGAAATATTCAATTCGTCTTCTTCATGTTAGCGAAGAACGCAAGAAAATGTTGGGATTGGAAGCGTTAAAAGATAAAAACATGATTAAACAAATAAGAGAGAAGGAAGAAGAATACCAAACACGAATTGATTTTTGATTAAAAAAAAACATACACTTACCGTAGAATATGTCGGTGATGGTGGATATTGGTGTTCCGGAAAATCTAAATAATATACAAAACTAAAAACAAATAAAATGAAAACAAACTTACATCGTGGCGCCGATGTTGATCGACCACGTCTTCCCTATAAAAGAAATCAAAAATTGGGTTATTACTCTAATATGTCATCTATTTCAAACATACGAAGTACAACGTAGGATTATTAATATTCATTTCCAAAGAAAGCCAATAAATTTAAGTAAAGTTATGTTGTTCAAAGTACGAAAAATAACGTTTTTCTGACAATTACAACACATGGATAGATTAGATAAGTGATCGCTTTCAACTATTATTTACTGTTTCCTTTCTATCATTCTTCTATATCTTATTTTCGTCAAATCAGACAATGATAGACTATGTCTATATCGTACGTATGTCATTTTACTAGACGACAAGGAATTTGTTCGTTCTATTAATTACTAACGCGAATAATACTATTATTCTAGTTTCGGGCGTTATAAAGAATCTCAAACACGTGTTCTGGTTGCGACAAATTTCTTCGTACTTGGCATAGATATTGAATGTGCTAGTATTGTATTTAATGTTGATATGCCAGAATATCTTTATCGAGTATGTTCGAAACAAAATTTGTTTTTTTATTTATTAAAAAAAGATTTGACTTTGGATTGCTCGTGCTGGCCGACTTGGTAAAAAAAGATTAGCAATAACATATGTTGCAAATGAGAGTGATGCAGCATTCCGGTCGAAGAAAACGATCAGTAAACGGTCGTATACGATACAAATACGGTCGTATGTTCTATAGAATACGATAATATTACGCCGGCTTTAGGAGGTTTTACGGCTGATATACGGTGTCCGTTTATGGCCGTAATACTGCCCCTGTTAAAACGCCTTAATTCGGCTTAAAACGGCCGTTTTACGACGGAATACGATGCAAAAACGACCGTTTACGGTAATGTTACGCCGGTTTACGGTGGTCCGCTTTGATCGACGTGGGCAATTCCGAACGAAATCCAAAGTCGTTTTGCAGTAGAAATTACTGAAATGCCCGACGAAATCAATGCAGACACATATAGTAAATATTCTTTTTTATTGATTTATATTTTAAGAATTCTTTCTCTTTTTTTCTAGTCAAAAATCGTTGATTTGCAGGTGTTACTGACTCAAATCAAATGTATAAACTTCTTTTTTTTTTAATCTCATCTCGGTTATTATCATTATCACTTTTCGTTCTTTTTTCTTTATGTTGCTAACAAACTTGTGTGTAGGTGCATTGGAGAATATGAATGTATGACTCTAATCGTTCAAGCATTATCTTTTTTTTTTCTTGCGCTTTTTCTTTGATGGTTACAACTAAGAACAACAATAAAATATTCTTAGAAACGTACACGAAAATTTCACAAAAGTCATAAAGTTTCAGAAGAATCTGCACGGAATTTCTGAAAACTCTTTCGTATAGAGCACATCTTGCGTATATGTCGCAGGGGAAATTAAAATTCAGGACAATTTAAAATTCCCCTAGGGGAAATTAAAATTTTAATCTCACCTAGGGTAAATTAAAATTTTTTGTATTTTTTATATAATTTTCGATTTTTCTGAAATAGGTAAAAATGTAGAGTTTGTGTAATGGTGTGGGTCAGAGACCGAAATCGACTCCGAATGGAACTTCAAAACTACCGAATCGAATCGAATGAATAAAAAAGAATTGAAAAAAAGCCGAATCGAATCGAATGATACTTCTAGAAAAGAGGTCGAATCGAATCGATTCATTTTTTTTCATTTTCATTCGGCTATTCAAAATCATTTTGTTTGTTCTGGTGTTATGGTCGAGGGCAGTTAACTAGTATAAGAGATGACGCATGAAAAGGACGTCCACTGTTTCTCTTTCTTTGTCTCTGTCAGTCGTGCTTATTTAATTATCATCCTTGTTCTTGTTCTGTTGATATCGTTATCATGGTCAAGTGCATTTTGATTGGCATAAGAAGTGCTCACTTACAACGAGCGTTCCATCTTTCTTTCTTTTTTCGTTAGTCAATTTAGGCCCCAATCACACTGAGAAGTAAATTAACATTATAGTTGAATTAAGCCATGTGACTGGTGCATTAAGAGTTAAGTAATACTTTAGAGGTGATTTTAACTCTTAATGTAACAATTAGATTACTGAATAAGACTTTAACTTTATTCACATTTCCAGTGCGATTGGGGTCTTGATATCAACCTCTTCATTTATTAAGTATGGCTATGGTCAACTGTAAATATAGATCCATATACAGTAAATGATATTATTTTTCTTCGTTCTATAGAAAATAAAATTATTTAATTAGTCTACTTAGATGTGTTCATTAATTTATATATTATGTTCTTTCTTGAAAAACATGAATAATTCTTATGTATATCTTCATAAATTATATTTATTCAACATATTTCTATAGAAGATCGAAATACTATTCTCATTCTAAGACGATGACAGTCTGAAAACAACAATACTATGTAATAGTGAATACCATATTTTGTAAAGCCAATTTGAGTCGAATCGAATCGAATCAAATTGATTTTTTTCGTGTTTTAGCCGAATCGAATCGAATTACAATTTTAAAAAGACCAGAAAACCCGAATCGAATCGAATGGCACTTTTGTCATCGGTTTCGGTCTCTGATAACTAACTACGTAAAATCTTGAATTCATTTTATCAGATTGACATTACCTGTCTATTCATACATGTGACACATCGAAAAAGATAAAAGAGCAATCACACTTGAAAAGATACCACTATAATTATTGAATTGATTTTGGAGACACATCTACCCAGGTCTACCATTCAACTATCGCATCCCTGGCATTGAAAAAATTATGACGGATTCGGATTCCTTGGCATCGAAAACCTATTTCAAACTTCGATCAGAATTCAGATCGGAGTTCAAATAAAAAGCCTAGCATTGCGGCCCTCAAATTTTTAATGGACCTAATATCTGACGAATGGGAGCTCAGACGGAAAAAATGATAACGGATTCGGATTTCTCGATCTCAATAACCTATTTGAGGTTTATATTACTTAAATCACGTTCTTAAAATTTAGTATCTTGCTTCAAGTCAGAACTATCTTTGGAAAAATAGTTCAGCATTAAGAAAAGCTGTTAGCGCAATCCCTGTAGGATTAAAATGTGAAACACGATAAAGCTCGTTTTCTGAAATCCGTCTACCACGGTCTGTGATGGTTTGTGGAGCTTCTCCGTCACGGTCTGTATCTTTATTATGGTGTTTGAAGTCTCTAGAGACCATCACAGACCGTTACAGACCCTTCAAAAAACATCACAGATAGCGACTGATAATTCAGAGACCATCACAGACAGGGGCAGAGACCCCAGAAACTATCACAGACCGGGACAGAGAAATTAATTAATTAATTAATTAATTTCTCTGTCACTGTCTGTGGGAGGGTCCAAATTTCTACCCTATATACTTC